TTGTGTGCTATTGTTGCATATAGGTTGTTTGTGAATAAATTTTGGGCACTGGAAGGCTGATTAGGGGCTCTCATGTTGATCCCTGTTGGGATTATGCAGTTCCTTTTGTTCTCATGATGCTTCCCGATGGAAAGTGCCTGTGATTATCGTGTAATTGGATTTGAATCGCTGGTTGTGACTTGTTCATACACTGGTTCTGTCTTATGGGCATATGAGCTGAATCTGGTTGTGTTTCTTTGTATTTGCATTTACTAGTGTATAGCCCGTGCGATGCACGGGTAATCTATATATATATAATAAGAATTAATATTTTTCAAAAATAGTAAGCAAAAAAATAGGGAATATTAATTGCATTCTATTTTTGGTATGTTTTTTAATTTTTTTAATAAAAAATCAAATAGCATTTAATGCTAGCACAAATCATGGGATTTGTTATATAGATGCATATTTGAATTTCAAACTTCAAACAAAACATGTCTAAATGTATTTTGAATTTTTTAGGAAAAAAATTTAACAAACACGTTAAAGATGTCATACAATACATATATTTATATATATTATCTTAACATATAGGTTAATTAGTTTCATATCTAAACAATATATATTTAACCAATATATAAACAAATATAATAATTTATCGTACAATACAGATAAATATATAAACAATATATTTATAAACAAATATAATAAACAATACAAACAAATATACAAACAATATATAAACAAATATAAGAACTTGTCACGTGTATATTTTGTACAATACATATATTTGTATATATTATCTTAACATATAAGTTAATTAGTTTCATATCTAAACAATATATATTTTAGGAACTTAAAGATTCATAACATTACTGACGTCATGTATATTTATAACATATTGTCACGTACATTTTACTACAATTGGTAACTTTTTTTAAAATTATTTGAATAACTGGAGGTTGATTTGTAATTTTAATTTCAAATTCATTCAAACATTTAAAGAAAAATATCATAAGAAGATTTTTTTGATACATTTCATTTTATCTCAACTTACTTATAATCACGTTCCTACCTAACATTAAATTTGCTTATATCTTTTTAAATTAATTACATCACTAAATAATATTCATATACATTACATATTTATCATTATATAATAAATATATTACTTCTACAAGTGTTATAAATAATAATGACATTATATGATAATAGATTTTTTGATAGATTAATAATTGAGTATTATGATGAACCAAAATATGTAAAATTATTATTATTTTGTATTAAAAAATAAATATATATGTTAAAATATTATTTATAATAATATATTGGTTCATCATGCTATTACAATAAATTTTATAATAAAATAATATGAGTATTATACGAGTAACAAGATTACGTAAAATTGTTATTTTTCTTATATCAAGGAATAAATATATATAATGAAATTAAATTTATATTATTATAAACATGTGAGCGAGATAATATGTTAATTAATTTACGGTCTAGCGCTACCACTACCAGGCTCAGGTTTAATGTCTCGACAAAAAAGATGACGTTGATAAAAGAGGTAAAAAAAATAGATGATCAAACTCTATTACTTTTTTAGGCCTTAACTGACAATCCCTATTGTCCACTCATTTAATATCTCCCATGAATCACACGAGCTACTTAACAGACCAACTCTGTGGAAATGACTCATTTAATATTTATGTCCCGTGCATCGCACGGGCTACGTACTAGTAATATTAAACAATAATTATAAATTAAAGAGGAAAGTAAATAATATTAACTAATAATTATATTTTGAAGATGCGGGGTAACATATCTATGTAAGAAGTATCTAAAACATTCTATGTTGAAGGCAATTCTCATTCAACAGGATATAGTGTAAATAACGCAAAAAGTCAAGCTTTCAATATACACACTAACATGACCCACATACACGAAAATGGTGATAGGACGGTCTAAATCGGTAAAATGATCAAAGGTCGTGAACAATTCGTTTCACATATGAAAGGCAAAATTTTCCAACTTTTTAGGATTTTCATAAGATCCACTTACCATTTTATGTTTTTCCTTAACTTTATTTCGTTCGGTTCTCAAGAACGATTCACAAATTAACCTTGTGAATCTTATGTTTTTGTTTTCAATCGACGATAACTATTTCCAGAAATCATGTAAAATCAACAAATAACACAATTGAATAAAAAAAATGACAAATTTAACGGGTTAATTTTCTGTAATTTTATTATTAATTTACCCAATTTAAAAATATTTGAATTATTTGTTTATGAATATTTGTGGAATAATTGAGAACAAATCATCGTATTGTAAAGAGAAATTTTATGTGCAAACATAAAATGTTGGTATTATTTGAGTTTAAATATTGTGTGTATGATCTATTTAGAGCCCTTTAATTTTTTATTTTCCTGAACTTGAATTTGATTAAATATTATTGGGGTATAATCTCTATTTAGAATTTATTATCTATTTTTCTTTTAATTTCTTGAACTTGAATTTGGATTCGCCTCAAAGGTTCCCTTGTGCTTGATTGTGAATCAGATAAGATTAATTTAGAGACCAAATTATCGATTTTCAAATCAAATGTTGTGAGTTGATTAGATTTGAGAAAGCTGCTCGATTTTTTTTATTTTTTTTTTTCGTCCAAAATAAATTTGGACTAAAATAGTTGGGTAGTCTTTTTTATTAGAAATCTATGAAATCTACCCATCACATGCTCAATTATGTTACTGAAAACATGCAATTGAGGCGATAATTTTGCTAACTTGCTGAGATGTATTATTAGAAAAAAACATGCTGGAATTTTTTAAGAATAGGGAGAATCCCAAAACTGGGAGAATAGGGAGAATCCCGAAATCCCAAAATTGTTCCGATTTTTCAGAATAGGGAGAATCCCATCCCACTATTTGTCCGATTTCATTTATTGCTATTGATTTAAAAGAATAAAAAAATTTCTAAAAATAGTATGGATTAAATGATGTCTGAAAATTCTTTGCTAACTATTTTTGGTAAATGTTAATTCTTATTCTATATATATATATATATATATATATATATAGATGATTTTAATCCTGTTGATTTTCTTATTTTATTTTATTTTTTGTCTGAACAAACATATTTCAATATTTTATATCATACAGAAAATATAAGTGTGGGGTTTGTAGCTTGCCTTTTAGGGGTCCGGTGTTTTCAAATAGCTCTAAATTTCATTAGGGAAATTTTCATCTTTCCTACAAGATATGAAAAATATTGCAACAATACCACCCCTATTAAATTAATTGTATATTTACATAACAGATAAAATTAACTACATTAATACCTAATTTAGTTACCATATCAATTCAACTTCCTCTCCTTATTTTTTGGGCGTGATTTGCGTCCGTTTACAAAAAAAAAAATCTCTCCTTTTCAGTGTCTTTATTTGAGCGAAATAATAAACATCCCAGCAAAATAATTTGAGTATATTTTCAGTGTATATTGTGTTTATAATCATTATATTTCAGTATATTTTCAGTATATATTTGCGTTTATAATCATTATATTTCAGTATATTTTCAGTGTATGTTTGCGTTTATAATGTTTTCAGTATATTTGCAGTGTATGTTTGCATTTAAAGTATCGAAAATGAAACAACATAAACTGACTATATATCAAATAAACTGTAAATATACATTAAATAAACATTGAAAAACAGTATATTTCAGTATATTTTCAGTATATTTGCAGTGTATGTTAATCAAATATTTTCAGTGTATGTTATCGGTCAAAAAAAGTTTGAGTCGGTGCAGATATTTGAGCGAGAAGTTTGAGCGAAATAATAAACATCCCAGCAAATAATTTGACCCTAAAAATCTGCACCAAATAATTTGAAACTAAAAAGCTTTTTTTGGTGCGGATGTTTGAGCGAGATGCATCTCTCGTCGCGGATGTTTTGAGCGAGACGGAGGCGGATGCGGCGGCGGAAGGGGGATTGGAGGAGGTGGCTGACTTGTGTGAAGGGAGATTGGAGGAGTCGACTGAAAATTTCTCAAGACACATAATATCAGAGGGGATCTACCATCCTGTGCCGTTCACCAAGGGAATTTACAATCAAATCTGATGGTTGGCCGGGATGGACTAGGGCAGGGCCTCGGACGGCGTGTCGGGCGCGGCATCCGCTCGTGGTGCGTGTTTCGCGGTGGCTGGAAGGAAGGGGCAGCGATTGAAAGTTGGCCGTGGTGTTTTGATCCTGCTCGTGGTGTATCGATCAGAGGCAGGGATGGGGATTCGCTGCAGGGAATCTGCGTGGGGCGTGCGTGCGATGCCGGCGGTGGTGCAGCGGCCACGAGTGGTGGTGTTGCCGAGAAGGTGGGTGGCGATTGGATTGGCGATGGATTATAGGGCTTTTCCTGCCGGCTCTTGCGTGAAATAGGGAGGGTTAGGGAGAGGAGAAAATCGCTAAGGACAAAGAGAAGAAGAGAGAGAGGGATAGGAGAGAGACGTAGTTGATGGGAAATTATCATTTAATAGGAAATCAGTTGATGGAAAGTTACCATGTAAATAGAAAATCATCTTTTTAGGCATATCTGCAAATAAACTTGACAAAATTAGCTAATTCACAAATAATTACATGGGAGATGTAATTATATAATATTTTCAATTTGTTTAAGTGGAGAGTGTAAATTCCTCGTTTCATTATATGTTTTTATTAATTACATAATCCGGATTAGACTAGCTTTCTGTGAAAATCCCTCAATTTGACCCATCAACTGGACTCAATATCTTTTGGCTCCTTATTCACTTTTACTCCAACTATAGAATATTATTCACAATATCAATTAATATTTTCTGTTTCTTTTCCTTCTTTTAATCAATTAATCTTTGGAGGTCTTGCCTATTTAATATATGATTTTTTTATTATTAATAAGCTATAGAATATTATAAGTGCCTAAGATTTTAAATATATTCGTATACAAACTATTTTTACATTTTAATAGTTAAAAAATGCTATAATTTTAATTATGATCCTTAACTACAATTTTATTTACTCTGTTGTTTCCTAAAATAAACCATTAGAATTATATTTTTTACAACTTGTGTAGTTTACTAATGTAAATAGATATTTTAATGTGAATTTTAGAATTCTTAAGACCATCAAAATAATAATGATAATAATATATTATTTTAATTCATCCATATTATTATAATAGTAATATATATTCAATGAAAATTTGTCTTGTTTATGGTAAATCATATATTATAGAGTTGACCATAATATTTTATCAAATTTCATAACATTCATTTAATTAATATGATTTTTTTCCCGGAACGATAGCGAATTTTATGGATCAAAACGCACGAATGTGCAAAGGTACAACCCCTAGCTGAACAATACAACCAAAAGCTGAAAAAGCTGAGAGAACGGA